GTATCTGTCTCTGCGTGGGTGCTTTTCTTCTGTGGGTCATGTATTTGTGCGTGTGTGTTTGTGTGAGCTTTTGCGGGTGTGTGGTTGCCTGAGTGTGTTTTTGTGTGTGTGTCAGTGTGTGGGTATTTGTCTGTGGGTCATGTGTTGTTTGTGTGTGTATGTATTTATGTGTGTGCGTGTTTCCGCGTGTGTGTGTCTATCTGTGTATGTCTATGTGTGTTTGTGCATGTCTGTGTGTGTGTATTTGGCTTTGGGACATGTGTTCTGTGCGTGTACGTGCATTTATGTGTGTGGTTGTGTGGGATTTTGTTTATGTTTGTATGTGTGCGTGTGATTGTTTGCGCGCGTGTGTTTATGCGTGTGTGCGATTTTGTGTGCATGAGTTTGTGAGAGTTTGGGCGTGTTTGTGGGTTTCTGTGTTTGAGTGTGTGCATATTTGATGTGTGTTTGTTTGTGTATGTGTATTTATGTGTGCGTGTTTGCATGTGATTTTGTGTGTCTGTATTTATTTCGGTTTTATGTGTGTTTGTATGTTTGTGTGTTGTGTTTGTTTGTGTGTATATGTGCGTGCGTGTTTGTAAGTTTGCTTTTGTGTGTGCTTCTTTGTTTGTGTGTTTCTGTGTGTGTGTATTTGTGTGTGTTTGCGTGTATGTTTGTGTTTGTATGTTTGCTTGTGTTTATTTCTGTGTTTACGTATGTGCGTTTGCATGTGTTTGTGTGTCGTGTCTGTGTGAGTATTTGTTTGTGTATGTTTCTCTGACTGCGGGGGATTGTGTGCGTTTGTGTGTCTGTGTGCTTCTTTGTGTGTTTCTGTGTGTGTTTTCGTACATATGTTTTTGCGTGAGTGTGTTTGTGTGTGCGTTTATTTATGTGCATTTGTGTGCATGTGTGTTTCTATATGTATGTGTGTATTTCAGTGTGTCTGCGTGTGTGTCTATGTGTGCGCGTTTGTGTGTGTTTGAGTGTGTGTTTCTGTATGTGTGTATTTGTATGTGGGTCACATAGCGTTTATATAAGTGTGTGGGTAAGAGTGTATCTGTGGCTGCGTGTCTGTGTTCGTGTGTATCCTGGTGTGTATGTGTGTGTTTGTGTGTGTGTCTGTATATGCACTCCCCTACAACCTGTCCGGCATCAAACAAACTGTGAGTGACAGTGGGTTACACACACTGTGTTTACTCTGATCCCTGTTATGTCTCTGTGTCTCTGATCTCCAGGTTGGACAGTAACAATCTGACAGCGGATTGTACCGAGGATCTGACCTCCGCTCTCAGCACAAACCACTCACTGACGGAGCTGAACCTGAATAATAATAATCTGGGAGATTGTGGAGTGAAGCGACTGTGTGAGGCTCTGAGGAACCCGGAGTGTAAAATACAGAGTCTGTGGTAAGTAACGCACTGTGTCTCCAGAGTCTGAATGACTCCAATATCTCAATGTGTTTATTGTGACTGTCTGATCAGTGCGGCTGAATACTGTGACAGGAATCGGTGTGACAGTGTGAGGCCACAAACCATCGTTTACATCAAACTCTCAACGTGTGTTAATGTGTGTGTGTGGGTGTGTCCTTTGCAACTATCTACAACGACTTTAGAATGACCCGGTTCCAGTTTACCAATTGGTTGAGTTCAGTCACTTTATTCAGGACAGAACAGCAGGAAATACACAAATAAATGAAACAATAAAATAATACACAAGACACAAAGTGGTACCGAGCGGATTCCTGTCACAGCACTGGTCGTGTCTCGCACTGCTCCGCTACCGTTCCCGAGAGATATCTAACACACCTTTGTTCAAAGGCACCTAAATAACTCCAGACAAAGCTGTCATTTTTTAAGAAAAACAACTCCTTATATGGTTATATCCATAATATGTTTCAATTTCAATTCTCCCTTTAACCACAAGGACTTTAACCCTTATATTGCCATTGTTTTGGGTTCTGCCTTCAGTCACTGAGCTGTTCCGCCTTTGCACTTCTATTTTCGATTCTTAAACCACACTTTAACATTAATCGATGACAAAACTGCGTGTGTGTATGTCTGTGTGTGTGTGTGTCAGTGTGTGTGTGTGTGTGTACGTATGTGTGTGTGTCAATGCATATGCTTTTGTGTGTGTGAGTGTGTGTGTCTGTTTGCGTGTCTGTGTGTATGTGTGCGTTTGCCTGTGTATGTGGGTCTGTGTGCTTTTGTGAGTGCTTTCGTAAGTGTGTGTCTGTGTGAGCGATTGTTTGTGTGTGTGTTTGTCTTTGTTTCTGTGTTTGGGTTTGTGTGTGTGTTTTTGAGTATATCTATGTATATTGTGTGTCTGGATGTGTTCATGTGTGTATCTCTGTCTATGTGTGTGTGTTTCTGCGGGTTTTTTTCTTTCTCTGTGTGTATTTGTGTTCGACTGTGTTTGCTTGTGTGTATGTGTGTTTGTATGTGTGTTTGTGTGTTTGTTTGTGTGTTTGGTGTGTGTATTTGTGTGAATTTGTGCTTGCGAGAGTGTGTGTGTCAGAGCCTTGGGACGACATGAAAGGCGATATACAATGGTAATCTTGTTGTTGTGTGCGTTTGTGTATGTTCCTGTGAGTGTGTGCGATTGTGTGTGTGTATTCCCAGAGGATCGAGTTCAAGATCCTCGTCCTCACCTTTAAGGCCATCCATGGACTCGCCCCCTCCTCCCCTCTCTGACCTGCTGACTCCCTACCAACCTGCCCGCTCCCTCCGTCCAGTGGGCTCCGGGCTGCTCCGTGTCTCCCGCCCGACCCGCCCTCCCATCGGTGTCCGGGCTTTCAGCCTCTCTGCCCCACACTCTGGGACTCCATCCCACGGTCCCTTCCCCTCACTTCCTCTCTTGTCTCCTTCAAGGTCGGTCTCAAGACCCTTCTCTTCGATCGTGCCTTTGGTCTCCCTCCCACCTCTCTGCCTTCCCTCACTCCTACCCCACCCCTCCCCCACCCCTCGCCACCCCTTCCTCCCCACCCCTCGCCACCCCTCCCTCACCCCTCCCGCCACCCCTCCCCACCCCTCCCCACCCTCCCACCCTCCCCCATGCTCAGGCCCCGACACCTGACTGTTCAGCGCTTTGGGACGTCCTGCCGACGTGAAAGGCGCTCTGTAAATGCAATTTTATTGATGTTATTGTGTATTTGTGTGTGTGTGTGTGTGTGAGTGTGTGTGCGTGTCTGCGGGTATGTGCGTGGTTGTGTCTGTGTGCTTGCACGTTTGTGTGTTTGGTTGTGTGTATGTGTATTTATGTTTGTGTGTTTTTCTGTGTGTGGGTGTTTTGTGTGTGTGTGTTTGCGTATGTTTGTCTGTGTGAATCTATGTATGTTTATGTCTGTGTTTGTATTTGATTTTGTGTTTCTTTGTTTGTTTGTGTGTTTTTGAGTGTGTGTCTGTTTGTCTTTATGTATGTTTCTATGTGTATGTGTGTGATTGTGTGTTGTGTTTTTGTGTGTGCGTATTTGTGAGTTTGTTTTTGTGTGTCTTTTTTTGTGTGTTTCTGTGTATATTTGTGCGTGTGTTTTCGCGTGTATGGTTATGTATGTTTGTGTATACCTGTATGTGTGTGTGTGTAATTGTGTGCTTTTTTCTCCGTGTGTGTGTGTGTTTACGTGTCTGTTTGCGTGTGTTTCTGTGTGTCCGTTTGTTTGTGTTTCTTTGAGTGTGTGTGTTTGTTTCTGTGTGTTTCTCTGTGTATATGTGTCTGTGTGTCTGTATCTGTGTGTGTGTATTTGTCTGTGTGACATGTGTTTGTTTGTGTGTGTATGTGTGTGCCTGCATGAGTGTGTTTGCGTGTGTTTCTGTGTGTGTGTGTTTACTTGTTTGTGGGTCGTGTGTGTGTGACTGATTGTATTTGTCTGTGGGTCATGTGTTTGTTTATGTGTGTATGTGCATGTATGTGTGTGTGTTTGTGTGCCATTTTGTTTATGTTTGTATGTGTGCTTGTGTGAGTGATTGTGCTTATTTTGCGTGTGTGTGTTTGTGTGTGTTGGCGTGTGTTCGATTTTGTGTGTGTGAGTTTGTGAGTGTTTGTGTGAGTTTCTGTGTGTGTTTGTGTATTTCTGTGTGTGCGTGTGAGTTTGTGTGTGTGTATATTTGTGTGTCTGTGTGTATCTATGTATGTCTATTTATATATGTGTGTTTGTTTGTATGTGCTGTGCTTCTGTTTGTGATTGTGTGTTTTTGAGTGTGTCTTTATGTGCGTTTGTATGTTTGCGGGTGTTTGTGTGTGCGTGTTTGTCAATCTGTTTTCGTGTACGTTTGTTTGTGTGGTTCTGTGTGTGTGTACTTGTGTGTGTTTGTGTGAATGTTTATGTATGTTTGTGTGTGTATGCGTGTTTGTGCGTGCGTGTGTTTTTCTCTGTGTGTGTGTTTGCGTGTGGTTGTGTTTGTGTGCATGTGTGTGTGTGTTTGTGTGAATGATTGATTGTTTGTGTGTGTTTGTGTTTGCTTGTGTGAGTTTCTGTGTGTGTGTTTGCGTATGTGTTTGCGTGGGTGAGTTTTTGGGTGTGATTGTGTATGTTTCTGTGTGAGCGCGTTTGTGTGAGAGTGTTTGTGTGTTTGTTTGTCTGCGTGAGTGTGTGTATTTATGTGTGTCTGTGTGTTTCTGTGTGTGCGTCTCTCTGTTTATGTGACTCTGTTTGTGTGCGTTTGTGTGTATTTTTCTGTGGGTCATGTGTCTGTGTTTGTGTGTATTTGTGTGTGTGAGTGTAAGTGTGTGTCTGCGGTGATGTTTTTGTCTGTCTTTTGTGTGTGTGTGTGTTTGTGTATATGAACTCCTACAACCTGTCCGGCATCAAACAAACTGTGAGTGACAGTGGGTTACACACACTGTGTTTACTCTGTTCCCTGTTATGTCTCTGTGTCTCTGATCTCCAGGTTGAACAGTAACAATCTGACAGCGGATTGTACCGAGGATCTGACCTCCGCTCTCAGCACAAACCACTCACTGACGGAGCTGTACCTGAATAATAATAATCTGGGAGATTGTGGAGTGAAGCGACTGTGTGAGGCTCTGAGGAACCCGGAGTGTAAAATACAGAGTCTGCAGTAAGTAACGCACTGTGTCTCCAGAGTCTGAATGACTCCAATATCTCAATGTGTTTATTGTGACTGTCTGATCAGTGCGGCTGAATATTGTGACAGGAATCGGTGTGACAGTGTGAGGCCACAAACCATCGTTTACATCAAACTCTCAACATGTATTAATGTGTGTGTGTGGGTGTGTCCTTTGCAACTATCTACAACGACTTTAGAATGATCCGGTTCCAGTTTACCAATTGGTTCAGTTTAGTCACTTTATTCAGGACAGAACAGCAGGAAATACACAAATAAATGAAACAATAAAATAGTACACAATACACAAAGCGGTACCGAGCGGATTCCTGTCACAGCACTGGTCGTGTCCCGCACTGCTCCGCTACCGTTCCCGAGAGATATCTAACACACCTTTGTTTAAAGACAACTGAATAACTCCAGACAAAGCTGTCTTTTTTAAGAAAAACAACTCCTTATATGGTTATATCCATAATATGTTTCAATTTCAATTCTCCCTTTAACCACAAGGACTTTCCGTGTCCCTGTAAGTCCTGACCTTATATTGCCATTGTTTTGGGTTCTGCCTTCAGTCACTGAGCTTTGCCGCCTTTGCACTTCTATTTTAGATTCTTGAACCACACTTTAACATTAACCCAAGACAACAGTTTGTATGTATGTCTCTGTGTGTGTGTGTGTGTGTGTCAGTGCATGTGTCTGTGCATGTGTGTGATTGTGTATGTATGTCTGTGTGTGTGTGTCAATGCATATGTGTGTGTGTCTGTTTACGTGTCTCTGTGTGTGTGTGCGTTTGCCTGTGTATGTGGGTCTGTGTGCTTTTGAGTGCTTTCGTAAGTGTGTGTGTGTTTGTCTGTGTGAGTGATTGTTTGTGTGTGTGTTTGTCCTTGTTTCTGTGTTTGTGTGTGTGTTTTTGAGTATATCTGTATATATATTTTGTGTCTCTCTGTCTGTGTGTGTTTGTTTCTGCAGAGTTTTTTGTGTCTCAGTGTGTATTTGTGTTCGACTGTGTTTGCTTGTGTGACTTTGTGCTTGTGAGTGTGTGTGTGTCAGAGCCTCGGGACGTCCGACATGAAAGGTGATATACAACTGTAATCTTGTTGTTGTTGTGTGCGTTTGTGTATGTTCCTGTGAGTGTGCGCGATTGTGTGTGTGTTTGTGTGTGTTCCTGTGAGTGTGTGTGATTGTGTGTGTGTATACCAGAGGATCGAGTTCAAGATCGTCGTCCTCACCTTTAAGGCCATCCATGGCCTCGCCCCCTCCTCCCCTCTCTGACCTGCTGACTCCCTACCAACCTGCCCGCTCCCTCCGTCCAGTGGGCTCCGGGCTGCTCCATGTCTCCCGCCCGACCCGCCCTCCCATCGGTGTCCGGGCTTTCAGCCTCTCTGCCCCACACTCTGGGACTCCATCCCACGGTCCCTTCCCCTCACTTCCTCTCTTGTCTCCTTCAAGGCCGGTCTCAAGACCCTTTTCTTCGACCGTGCCTCTTGTCGCCCTCCCACCTCTCTGACTTGCCTCCCCGCTACATCACCCCTCCCTCACCCATTACCCCTACCCCATCCCTTCCTCATGCTGGGACCCCACCCCCTGACTATTCACCGCTTCGGGACGTCCTCCCGACATGAAAGGCGCTCTATAAATGTCATTTTGTTTATGTTGTTGTGTCTTTGTGTGTATTTGTGTGTTTGTAAGTGTGTATGTGTGCGGCTGTTTATGTGTGTTTGTGGTGTGTATGTTTCTGTCGTTTTGCATATGTTTGCGTGGGTGCGTTCGCATGTATGATTGTGTGTATGATTATGCATGTTTCTGTGTGTGCGCTTATGTGTGTAGGTTTGTGTGTTTATTTGTGTGTGCATGTTTGTGTATGTATTTGTGTGTTTGTTTGTGTGTATGTGTATTTATGTTTGTGTCTTTGTGTGTGATTTTGTTTATGTTTATGTGTGTTCTTGCGTGTGTGTGTTTCCGTGTGTGCGATTTTGTGTGTGTGAGTTTGAGAGTGTATTTGTGAAAGTTTGTGTGAGTTTCTGCGTTTGTGTGTGTGTTTTTGTGTGTGGGTGTTTGTGTGTGTTTGCATTTGCGTGTATTTTTATGTTTGTTTGTGTGTATCTGCATATGTATATTTACGTGGGTCTGTGTCTGTGTTAAATTTTGTGTTTCCATGTGTGTTTGTGTGTTTTTGAGTATGTGTCTGTGTATCTTTATGTATGTTTCTATGTGTGTTTGTATGCTTTTGTGTGTGTGTGTGATTGTGTGTCTTATGTTTACTTGTGTGTGCATGTGTGTGCGTGTTTGTGAGTTTTTTTATGTTTATGTTTGTTTGTGTGTTTCTGAATGTGTATTTGGGTGTGTGTTTGTGTGTATGTTCATGCATGTTTTCGTGTGTGTATGCGTGTTTTTGTGTGTTTGTTTCTGTGTGTTTCTCTCTGTGTGCGATTGTGTGCATTTGTGTATATGTGTTTGTTTCTGTATGTTTGTGTGTGTTTGTGTATGCTTGTGTGTGTTTCTGTGAGCGTGTTTGTGTGCAACTATGCTTGCGTGGGTAGGTATATTTGTGTGCGTGATTGTGTGTTTCGGTGTGTGTGCTCTTGTGTGAGTGCGTTTGTGTGTTTGTGCGTGTATTTTTGAGTGTGATGGTGTGTGTGTATTTGTGGGTGTGCGTTTGTTTGTGTGCATGTATGTGTATTTCTGTGTATGTGTGTCTGTGTGTTTGTTTCTCTGTGTGTGTATTTATCTGTGGGTCATGTGTTTGTTTTTGCGTGTGAGTGTATTTATGTGTGCGTTTGTGTGTGACATATTGTTAATCTTTGTGTGTGTGCTTGTGTGAGTGTTTGCATGTGTGCGATTCTGTGTGTATGTGTTTATGAGTGTGTGTTTGTGTGTTTCTGAGTGTGTGAGTTTGTGCGTGAGTTTGTGTGTGTGTTTGTGTGTGTTTCTCTGCGTGGGTGGGATCGTGTGCGTTTATGTCTGTGTGTTAGTTTGTGTGTGTTTGCGTATGTATGTGTTTGGATGGGTAAGATTGTGCGAGTGTGAATGTTTGCTTTTCTGTGTATGCGTGTTTGTGTGAGTGTGTCTGTGTGTGTTTGTGTGCGTGTTTGTGTGCGTATGTGTAATTTTGTATGTGTGTCTCTGTGTGTGTGTCTGTATGTTGTTGTGTGTGTGTTTGTGTGTTCGTTTGTGTGCGTGAGAGTGTATGTATTTTTGTGTGTGTGTTTCTGTGTGTATTTGTGTATTTCTGTGTGTGTCTGTGTTTTTTTCTTTGTCTGTGGATCATGTTTGGTTGTTTGTGTGTTTGTTTGTGTGAGAGTAAGTGTGTATCTTTGTCTGTGTGTTTGTCTGCTATGTATGTTTGCTGGTGTGTATGTGTGTGTGTGCACTCCTGCAACCTGTCCGGCATCAAACAAACTGTGAGTGACAGTGGGTGACACACACTGTGTTTACTCTGATCCCTGTTGTGTCTCTGTGTCTCTGATCTCCAGGTTGGACAGTAACAATCTGACAGCGGATTGTACCGAGGATCTGACCTCCGCTCTCAGCACAAACCACTCACTGACGGAGCTGAACCTGAATAATAATAATCTGGGAGATTGTGGAGTGAAGCGACTGTGTGAGGCTCTGAGGAACCCGGAGTGTAAAATACAGAGTCTGCGGTAAGTAACGCACTGTGTCTCCAGAGTCTGAATGACTCCAATATCTCAATGTGTTTATTGTGACTGTCTGATCAGTGCGGCTGAATATTGTGACAGGAATCGGTGTGACAGTGTGAGGCCACAAACCATCGTTTACATCAAACTCTCAACATGTATTAATGTGTGTGTGTGTCCTTTGCAACTATCTACAACGACTTTAGAATGACCCGGTTCCAGTTTACCAATTGGTTGAGTTCAGTCACTTTATTCAGGACAGAACAGCAGGAAATACACAAATAAATGAAACAATAAAATAATACACAAGACACAAAGCGGTACCGAGCGGATTCCTGTCACAGCACTGGTCGTGTCTCTCACTGCTCCGCTACCGTTCCCGAGAGATATCTAACACACCTTTGTTTAAAGACAACTGAATAACTCCAGACAAAACTGTCTTTTTTAAGAAAAACAACTCCTTATATGGTTATATCCATAATATGTTTCAATTTCAATTCTCCCTTTAACCACAAGGACTTTCCGTGTCCTTGTACGTCCTGACCTTATATTGCCATTGTTTTGGGTTCTGCCTTCAGTTACTGAGCTTTGCCGCCTTTGCACTTCTATTTTAGATTCTTGAACCACACTTTAAATTAATCCATGACAACACTGTGTGTATGTATGTCTGTGTGTGGGTGTATGTGTCAGTGCATGTGTTTGTGTGTGTGTCAATGCACATGCTTTTGTGTGTGTGTGCGTTTCTGTGTGTATGTGTGCGTTTGCCTGTGTATGTGGGTCTGTGTGCTTTTGTGAGTGCTTTCGTAAGTGTGTGTGTATCAATGTGAGCGATTGTTTGTGTGTGTGTTTGTCTTTGTTTCTGTGTTTGTGTTTTTGAGTATATATATATTGTGTGTCTGGATGTGTTTACGTGTGTGTCTCTGTCTGTGTGTGTGTGTTTCTGCGGGGTTTTTTGTTTCTCTGTGTGTTTTTGTGTTCGTTCGACTGTGTTTGCTTGTGTGTACGTTTGTTTGTGTGTGTGTTTGTGTGTTTCTGTGTGTGTGACTTTGTGCTTGTGAGTGTGTGTGTGTGTCAGAGCCTTGGGACGTCCGACATGAAAGGCGATATACAACTGTAATCTTGTTGTTGTTGTTGTGTGCGTTTGTGTGTGTTCCTGTGAGTGTGTGCGATTGTGTATGTGTTTGTGTATGTTCCTGTGAGTCTGTGCGATTGTGAGTGTGTGTATCCCAGAGGATCGAGTTCAAGATCGTCGTCCTCACCTTTAAGGCCATCCATGGCCTCGCCCCCTCCTCCCCTCTCTGACCTGCTGACTCCCTACCAACCTGCCCGCTCCCTCCGTCCAGTGGGCTCCGGGCTGCTCCGTGTCTCCCGCCCGACCCGCCCTCCCATCGGTGTCCGGGCTTTCAGCCTCTCTGCCCCACACTCTGGGACTCCATCCCACGGTCCCTTCCCCTCACTTCCTCTCTTGTCTCCTTCAAGGTCGGTCTCAAGACCCTTCTCTTCGATCGTGGCTTTGGTCTCCCTCCCACCTCTCTGCCTTCCCTCACTCCTACCCCACCCCTCCCCCACCCCTCGCCACCCCTCCCGCACCCCTCGCCACCCCTCCCCACCCCTCCCGCCACCCCTCCCCCACCCCTCCCCCATGCTCAGGCCCCGACACCTGACTGTTCAGCGCTTTGGGACGTCCTGCCGACGTGAAAGGCGCTCTGTAAATCCAATTTTATTGATGTTATTGTGTATTTGTGTGTGTGTGTTTGTGTGTGTGAGTGTGTGTGCGTGTCTGCGGGTATGTGCGTGGTTGTGTCTGTGTGCTTGCACGTTTGTGTGTTTGGTTGTGTGTATGTGTATTTATGTTTGTGTGTTTTTCTGTGTGTGTTTGTGTGTGGGTGTTTGTGTGTGCTTGTGTGTGTGTATTTGGGTATGTTTGTGTGAATCTATGTATGTGTTTTATGTCTGTGTTTGTATTTGATTTTGTGTTTCTTTGTTTGTCTGTGTGTTTTTGAGTGTGTGTCTGTTTGTCTTTATGTATGTTTCTATGTGTATGTGTGTGATTGTGTGTTGTGTTTTTGTGTGTGCGTATTTGTGAGTTTGTTTTTGTGTGTCTTTGTTTGTGTGTTTCTGTGTGTATTTGTGCGTGTGTTTTCGCGTGTATGGTTATGTATGTTTGTGTATGCATGTGTGTGTGTGTGTAATTGTGTGCTTTTTTCCGTGTGTGTGTGTGTTTACGTGTATGTTTGCGTGTGTTTGTGTGTGTCCATTTGTTTGTGTTTCTGTGAGTGTGTGTGTTTGTTTCTGTGTGTTTCTCTGTGTATATGTGTCTGTGTGTCTGTACCTGTGTGTGTGTATTTGTCTGTGCGACATGTGTTTGTTTGTGTGTGTATGTGTGTGCTTGCATGAGTGTGTTTGCGTGTGTTTCTGTGTCTGTGTGTCTACTTGTTTGTGGGTCATGTGTTTGTGTGTGTGACTGAGTGTATTTGTCTGTGGGTCATGTGTTTGTTTATGTATGTGTGTGTTTGTGTGCCATTTTGCTTATGTTTGTATGTGTGCTTGTGTGAGTGATTGTGCTTATGTTTGCGTGTGTGTGTGTTTGAGTGTGTGTGTTGGCGTGTGTTCGATTTTGTGTGTATAAGTTTGTGAGTGTTTGTGTGAGTTTTTGTGTGTGTTTGTGTGTTTCTGTGTATGTCTATTTATATATGTGTGTTTGTTTGTATGTGCTGTGCTTCTGTTTGTGATTGTGTGTTTTTGAGTGTGTCTTTATGTGCGTTTGTATGTTTGTGGGTGTTTGTGTGTGCGTGTTTGTCAGTCTGTTTTCGTGTACGTTTGTTTGTGTGTTTCTGTGTGTGTGTATTTGTGTGTGTTTGTGTGAATGTTTATGTATGTTTGTGTGTGTATGCGTGTTTGTGCGTGCGTGGGGTTTTTCTGTGTGTGTGTTTGCGTGTGGTTGTGTTTGTGTGCATATGTGTGTGCGTTTGTGTGAATGATTGATTGTTTGTGTGTGTGTTTGTGTTTGCTTGTGTGAGTTTCTGTGTGTGTGTTTGCGTACGTATGTGTTTGCGTGGGTGAGTTTTTGGGTGTGATTGTGTATGTTTCTGTGTGAGCGCGTTTGTGTGAGAGTGTTTGTGTGTTTGTTTGTCTGCGTGTGTGAGTGTGTGTATTTATGTGTGTATGTGTGTGTCTGTGTGCGCGTCTCTCTGTTTATGTGACTCTGTTTGTGTGTGTTTGTGTGTATATTTCTGTGGGTCATGTGTTTGTGTGTATTTGTGTGTGTGAGAGTAAGTGTGTGTCTGCGGCGATGTTTTTGTCTGTGTTTGTGTGTGTTGGTGTGTGTGTGTGTTTGTGTGTATGAACTCCTACAACCTGTCCGGCATCAAACAAACTGTGAGTGACAGTGGGTTATACCCACTGTGTTTACTCTGATCCCTGTCATGTCTCTGTGTCTCTGATCTCCAGGTTGGACAGTAACAGACTGACCGATGGCTGCACTGATGCTCTGGTCTCCGCTCTCAGTACAAACCGCTCACTGAGGTTCCTGGACCTGAGGTTGTAACTCCTTCACAGACGGCTCTGTCCCGCTCTCCGCCGCCTCATACAGACCTGCACCAGTCTGGAGGGATCAGGTGAGTGTTTGTGTCAGTGTTTAATGTGATAAACACACAGAGAAAGGGCTGTGTATCAGAATGGGAACAGTTTGAAGGGATTTATTTATGTATTAAACTGCGACACGAACAGTTTACAGTTTGTACCATTATCCCGTGGGTTTATTTCCTGTTTAATGTGTTTCAGGCTGTGGGGGAATGGGTTCAGTTCAGACGGAGAGAATCAGCTGCAGTCACTGCGGGGAATCAGAGCTGAGCTGTCAGTGGATGTGTGACACTGACTGAGGCAGTGACTGTCCACACAGTCTGTGTAATATGGAATATATTCTGGACACTGTAGTGACTGATTATTAAAGATGTTGATCCTGATTCCTCTCCCATCTCTGCTCTGGGGACCGTTATTGACACACACCGCCTACGGCCGTGCGGGCGGCTGGAGAGCCCCGACCCTCAGTCACTGCTAAACTGCTGTAAGCGACCACAACTGATGCACTTTCTCTCACAGTCTCTCTCTCTCTCTCTGTGTGTCAGTCCCTCTCAGTTTATATATTTCCGTCTCTCTATTTCAGGCTCTCTCTTTCGTTGTCTCTCTTAGTCTCCGTCTCTCTCTCTCTGTGTGTGTGTGTGTGTGTTTGCCTCAGTCAGTGCGTGTCTATGAGATAGTGGGCGAGAGAGCAGTCAGTCTGTGTGTGTGTGTCTGTGTGTGAGAGAAGTCAGTGTGTGTGTGTGAGAGAGAGCAGTCAGTGAGTGTGTGTGTGCGTGTGTGAGGCAGTCGGTGTGTGTGTGTGTGTGAGAGAGAGAGAGAGAGCAGTCGGTGTGTGTGGGAGAGCAGTCAGTGTGTGTGTGAGAGAGCAGTCAGTGTGTGTGTGTGTGTGTGTTGGGGAGAGCAGTGTGTGTGAGAGAGAGCAGTCAGTATGTGTGTGTGTGTGAGAGCAGTCAGTGTGTGTGTGTGTGCGTGTGAGCAGTCAGTGTGTGAGAGAGCAGTCAGTGTGTGTGTGAGATAGCAGTCGATGTGTGTGAGAGAGGGAGAGCAGTCAGTGTGTGAGAGAGAGCAGTCAGTGTGTGTGTGTGAGCAGTCAGTGTGTGAGAGAGAGCAGTCAGTGTGTGTGTGTGAGAGCAGTCAGTGTGTGAGAGAGAGAGTGAGCAGTCAGTGAGTGTGTGTGTGTGTGGGAGAGCAGTCAGTGTGTGTGTGTGTGGAGAGCAGTCAGTTTGTGTGTGTGTGGGAGAGCTGTCAGTGTGTGTGTGTGTGTGTGAGATAGCAGTCGAAGTGTGTGAGAGAGAAAGAGCAGTCAGTGTGTGTGTGTGTGTCGTGTGTGTGTGAGAGCAGTCAGTGTGTGTGTGTGTGGGAGAGCAGTCAGTGTGTGTGTGGTGTGGTGTGTGAGAGAGAGAGCAGTCAGTGTGTGTGTGTGTGTGTGTGTCAGAGCAGTCAGTGTGTGTGTGTGTGTGTGTGGGAGAGCAGTCAGTGTGTGTGTGTGTGTGGGAGAGCAGTCAGTGTGTGTGTGTGTGTGGGAGAGCAGTCAGTGTGTGTGTGAGAGCATCAGTGTGTGTGTGGGGAGAGCAGTCAGTATGGTGTGTGGTGTGTGTGTGGGGAGAGCTGTGTGTGTAGTGTGTGTGTGAGAGAGCAGTCAGTGTGTGTGTGTGTGTGTGTGAGCAGTCAGTGTGTGTGTGTGTGTGAGAGAGAGCAGTCAGTGTGTGTGTGTGGGGGGAGAGCAGTCAGTGTGTGAGAGAGAGCAGTCAGTGTGTGTGTGTGTGCGTGTGAGCAGTCAGTGTGTGAGAGCAGTCAGTGTGTGTGTGGAGAAGCAGTCAGTGTGTGTGAGAGAGGGAGAGCAGTCAGTGTGTGTGTAGGAGAGCAGTCAGTGTGTGTGTGGAGCAGTCAGTGTGTGTGAGGAGAGCAGTCAGTGTGTGAGAGAGAGCAGTCAGTGGTGTGTGTGTGAGAGCAGTCAGTGGTGTGTGAGAGAGAGAGTGAGCAGTCAGTGGTGTGTGTGTGTGTGTGGTGGAGAGCAGTCAGTGTGTGTGTGTGTGTGGGAGAGCAGTCAGTGTGTGTGTGTGTGAGTGTGAGATAGCAATCGAAGTGTGTGTGAGAGAGAGAGAGCAGTCAGTGTGTGTGTGTGTGTGAGAGAGAGCAGTCAGTGTGTGTGTATGTGTTGGAGAGCAGTCAGTGTGTGAGAGAGAGCAGTCAGTGTGCGTGTGTGTGTGAGATAGCAGTCGATGTGTGTGTGGGAGAGAGAGAGAGCAGTCAGTGTGTGTGTGTGCGCGTGAGCAGTCAGTGTGTGTGTGTGTGAGATAGCAGTCGAAGTGTGTGAGAGAGAGAGAGAGAGCAGTCTGTGTGTGTGTGTGTGTCAGAGCAGTCAGTGTGTGTGTGTGTGGGAGAGCAGTCAGTGTGTGTGTGTGTGGGAGAGCAGTGTGTGTGTGTGGGAGAGCAGTCAGTGTGTGTGTGTGTGTCAGAGCAGTCAGTGTGTGTGTGTGTGTGTGTGACAGAGAGAGCAGTAAGTGTGTGTGTGTGTGTGTCAGAGCAGTCAGTGTGTGTGTGTGTGTGTGTGTGTGGGAGAGCAGTGTGTGTGTGTGTGTGAGAGAGCAGTCAGTGTGTGTGTGTGTGCGTGTGAGCAGTCAATGTGTGAGAGAGCAGTCAGTGTGTGTGTGAGATAGCAGTCGATGTGTGTGAGAGAGGGAGAGCAGTCAGTGTGTGAGAGAGAGCAGTCAGTGTGTGTGTGTGAGAGCAGTCAGTGTGTGAGAGAGAGAGTGAGCAGTCAGTGAGTGTGTGTGGTGTGTGGTGGTGGGGAGAGCAGTCAGTGTGGTGTGTGGTGTGAGATAGCAGTCGAAGGTGTGTGTGAGGAGAGAGAGCAGTCAGTGTGGTGTGTGTGGGGTGTGTGTGTGTGGTGTGTGTCGAGAGAGCAGTCAGTGTGTGTGTGTGGGAGAGCAGTCCAGTGTTGTGTGTTGTGTGTGATGAGAGAGAGCAGTCAGTGTGTGTGTGTGTGTGTGTCAGGAGCAGTCAGTGTGTGGTGTGTGTGTGTGGGGGAGAGCAGTCAGTGGTGTGGAGAGAGAGCAGTCAGTGTGTGTGTGTGTGTGTGGGAGAGCAGTCAGTGGTGGGGTGGGTGTGTGGGGAGAGCAGTCAGTGGAGTGTGTGTGTGTGAGAGAGCAGTCAGTGTGTGTGAGAGAGAGGCAGTCAGTGTGTGTGTGTGTGTGTGTGGGAGAGCAGTGTTCAGTGGTGTGAGAGGAGAGCAGGGTTGCAGGGAGAGTGTGTGTGTGGGGGGTGTGATGGTGGGGAGAGAGGTCGTGTGTGTGGGAGAAGCAGTCAGTGTGTGGTGTAGTTGGTGTGTGGGGAGAGCCAGTCCAGGTGGTGGTGAGAGGAGAGCAGTCCAGTGTAGTGTGTATGTGTGGGAGAGCAGTCAGGTGTGTGAGAGAGAGCAGTCAGTGTGTGTGTGTGTGTGCGATGAGCAGTCAAGTGTGTTGTGATGAGAGATGAGGAGAGAGAGCAGTCAGTGTGTGTGTGTGGTCAGAGCAGTCAGTGTGTGTGTGGTGTGTAGGAGCAGTCAGTGTGTGTGTGTGGGAGAGCAGTCAGTATGGTGATGTGTGTGTGTGTGGGAGAGCAGTGTGTGTGTGTGT